TTGGGCGGAGACTGTACCATGTACCCAGTGTTTGTAAATGAGGCTGCGTATTATGAAAAGAAAGAAGCTTTTGCAAAGACGACTAAACTAACACTCAATGCAAAAAGTATTCGCTCCTCTTTACATTAGAAATCACTTATAGCTCATTTGTTATAGGGTACCTAGAAAAGTTCTAGTTTGTAAGCTCTTGGGGACCAGATTGTGCCTTATTCATCACCGAATCCATAGCATCTAGCCCAGTGCCTTGCAGATGGTGGGCATTCAGGTAAATTTCTTGAATCTATGAATAAATCAATGAGTATCTTTTAAAGGTATTGTACTTTATGTATGCAACTTATTAAAGAAGTACACATCTTATTTCTATATAGCTTTTTGTATCTTATATTTTGATAGTTTAACATTATTAGTAAACAGCCTTTAAGTTCAAATTTTAACATTGAAATATATACTGTATACAAAAAGTTATTAACTTGAGCGTAGAACTGAATGTTGTATGTTTTCAAGTAGTGTAAAAATGCTACCAGAAACTAATTGTGCCAACTCGTTATTTTAAATTTTTTCAGATTTGAATTAATGATAAATTATTAAGGATCCAGTCTATAAACTTTAGCAGTAGTTATGATACCTGTAGATTTGCAGATGCTCTTTTGAAGATGAAACGTGAACAGGAAATGAGGGCTGCTTGTAAAGGTGACATTTTGAACAAATCCAGAAACTCTGAATGGTCCTTTGTCCACCGACAGGCAGTAACCCACACAGAGCATCGCTGCGGTGGCCACCCACTTGTGCTGCGCTGACCTTAGAGAGCAGAGAGCTTCCTACAGAGTCTCACAGGTCCCCACCAGCGCTAACATTCCTTCCCAACTTGGGAGGCACATTCCTCCCAGCCCTCCCTTCTTGCTTTGAGAGAATGAGCTTGCCTTTCTTCCCAACCAGCATGTGAGGAAGTCTTTGGGCTCCAGCAGCATAGGTGGTAAAGACAGAAACAGCAGAGGGCAGTGGACACTAGTGGAAGTGTGACCCGAACCTATGTCTCTGGTTCACAAACACATTATTTTAAAGAATTCCCCCGTGTCCTAAAGGCCCAAATACCTCACTCCCATGATTATTCTCCTCAGAGGTCTTCGGGCTAAAATGCTTTCTCTGTCCCTCTCCAGCCCCTGCAGGAGCCTCCCTCCCTCCTCTCTTAGGCCACAGCAGCCAAGTAAAGAAAATTTCTACCCCATG